TATGTAAAAGCGTCTGTGTGTAAAAGGGTCTGTGTGTAGAGGAGTCTGTGTGTAAAAGTGTCTGTGTGTAAAAGCCTCTGTGTGTAAAGGAGTCTGTGTGTAAAAGTGTCTGTGTGTAAAAGCGTCTGTGTGAAAAGGAGTCTGTGTGTAAAAGCTTCTGTGTTTAAAAGCTTCTGTGTGTAAAAGTGTCTGTGTGTAAAATGGTCTGTGTGTAAAAGTGTCTGTGTGTAAAAGCGTCTGTGTGTAAAGGAGTCTGTGTGTAAAAGCCTCTGTGTGTAAAAGCTTCTGTGTAAAAGCTTCTGTGTGTAAAAGCTTCTGTGTGTAAAACCTTCTGTGTTTAAAAGCTTCTGTGTGTAAAAGTGTCTGTGTGTAAAAGTGTCCGTGTGTAAAAGCGTCTGTGTGTCAATCTTTCTGTGCGTGTAAACGCGTCTGTGTGTAAAAGTGTCTGTGTGAAAAAAAGCTCCTGTGTGTAAACGCGTCTGTGTGTAAAAGCTTCTGTGTGTAAAAGCGTCTCTGTATAAAAGCGTCGCGCTTCTTCACATCCGAGGAATGATGGTACCGAGCTTTTTCGGCAATGTGTGCAGGAATTACCATAGTAAAATGAGATAACACATGTCATTTGCAGCATCATGGTACCGAGCCTCCTGTGCACTTTTGTTGCTCACATTATATTTCTCCATGTTTTCTTTCTATCTCCCTTTCCTTCTGTCTCTCTCTCTCTCTCCCCCTCTTTCTCTCTCTCTCACCCTCTCCCTCTTTCTCTCTCTCCGTCTCCCTCTCTCTCTCTCTATCTATGTCTCTCTGTGGTTGCAAGACACGTGTCATCTGATGCCCTTTACCAAGTATCCTCTTCTTAATCAATCTTACTTTTCACACCTCAGCCTTATCCCTCCATAGCTCATATAAAATTCACCAACCATTCACCGACTATCTTTTACGACTACCATCCTCAGAGCTGCTTGAAAAACATCTTTTTCGCTCTCGGGCCAACGTCTAGTTCACACAGACAGTCACAGACGCGTTTACACAGGAGTGTTTACACACGGATGCGTTTAGCCTCCACGCACAAAAGCTTTTTTTTGCACAGGGTAGCTTTTACACAAAGAACAGCATGTTAACGGTTCGATTCGGTTCGGTTCGGTTAGGTTCATATTTCCGGTTCGCAGCGCACGGTTCGGTTCATAAACGGCTATTTAATAGACGGTTCGGTTCTACCGCTTCGGTTTCCAAAAAAATCGATTCCACCGGTTCGGTTCCACCAGTTTATTCAAAAAAACCATGAGTTCTCGATCTTCATCGTAGCAGCAGCTGCTAGCTGACTTCCCCATTGTGGTAATTGAATCTCAAAGCGGTAGCTGCATCTCCCATTGAAACTCCCCCTGTACTGTGATAGCTGAATGTACCATTGTGGTGGCTGAATGTACCATTGTCATAGCTGAATCTCACATTGTGGTGGCAGAATCTCCCATTGTGGCCAAATTGTGGCGGCTGAATCTTTCATTGTGGTGGCTGAATCTCCCATTGTGGTGGCTGAATCTTTCATTGTGGTGCCCGAATCTCCCATTGTGGTCCCACTGTGGTGGCTGAATCTCCCATTGTGGTGGCTGAATCTTTCATTGCGGTGGCTGAATCTCCCATTGTGGTGGCTGAATCTCCATTGTTGTGGCTCGATCTCCCATTGTGGTGGCTGAATTTGTGGTGGCTGAATCTCCCATTGTGGTGGCTGAATTTGTGGTGGCTGAATCTCCCATTGTGGTGCCTGATTTTTTTCATTGTGGTGGCTGAATCTCCCATTGTGGCGGCTGAATCTTTCATTGTGGTTGCTGAATCTCCCATTGTGGTGGCTGAATCTTTCATTGTGGTGCCCGAATCTCCCATTGTGGTCCCACTGTGGTGGCTGAATCTTTTATTGCGGTGGCTGAATCTCCATTGTGGTGGCTCAATCTCCCATTTGTGGTGGCTGAATCTCCCATTGTGGTGGCTGAATCTCCCATTCTGGTGGCTGAATCTTTCATTGTGGCTGAATCTCCCATTGTGGTGCCTGATTTTTTTCATTGTGGTGGCTGAATCTCCCATTGTGGCGGCTGAATCTTTCATTGTGGTTGCTGAATCTCCCATTGTGGTGGCTGAATCTTTCATTGTGGTGCCCGAATCTCCCATTGTGGTCCCACTGTGGTGGCTGAATCTTTTATTGCGGTGGCTGAATCTCCATTGTGGTGGCTCAATCTCCCATTTGTGGTGGCTGAATCTCCCATTGTGGTTGCTGAATCTCCCATTCTGGTGGCTGAATCTTTCATTGTGGCTGAATCTTCCATTGTGGTGGCTGAATCTCCCACTGTGGTGGCTGAATCTCCCATTGTGGTGGCTGAATCTCCCATTGTGGTGGCTGAATCTTTCATTGCGGTGGCTGAATCTCCCATTGTGGTGGCTGAATCTTTCGTTCTGGCTGAATCTCCCATTGTGGTGGCTGAATCTTCCATTGTGGTGGCTGAATCTCCCATTTGTGGTGGCTGAACCTCCCATTGTGGTCCCATTGTGGTCCCAGTGTGGTGGCTGAATCTTCCATTGCGGTGGCTGAATCTCCCATTGTGGTGGCTGAATCTTTCATTGTGCTGGCTGAATCTCCCATTGTGGTGGCTGAATCTTTCATTGTGGTCTCATTGTGGTGGCTGAATCTCCCATTGTGGTGGCTGAATCTCCCATTGTGGTGGCTGAATCTTCCATTGTTGTGGCTGAATCTCCCATTGTGGTGGCTGAATCTCCCGTTGTGGTGGCTGAATCTCCCATTGTGGTCTCGTTGTGGTGGCTGAATCTTTCATTGTGGTGGCTGAATCTCCCATTGTGGTGGCTGAATCTCCCATTGTGGTGGCAGAATCTTCCATTGTGGTTGCTGAATCTTTTATTCTGGTGGCTGAATCTTTCATTGCTGTGGCTGAATTTTTGATTGTGGTGGCTGAATCTCCTTCTAGACAACAGGAGCCTGCCTTGGGGGATTGCACCACCACATTGGAGATTTTGGTTCCGGTTCGATCGGTTCGAACGGTTCCATGGAGAATTATTTCGGTTAGGTTCACGACGGTTAGCTTCCACTCGGTTCGGTTCCTACGGTTCAGGTTCCTGCGGTTCCACGGTTAGGTTACTAACCACCATGAAGAAGTCTTTACACAGAGAAGTCTTGACACAGAGAAGCCTGTCCACACAGAGGCTTTTACAGAGAGAAGCCTTTTATACAGAGAAGTCTTGACACAGAGGAGCTTTTACACAGAGAAGTCCTCCTTACACAAAGGAGATTTACACACAGAAACTTTTACAAGTTTACACACAGGAAGTTTAACACACAGAAGCGTTTACGGCGCACAGAAACTATTGCACAGAGCAGTTTTACAAGCAGAAGCTTTTACACAAAAAACCTTTACACAGAGAAGTTTTTGCACACAGGAGCTCTTGCACAAGGACACTTTTACACAAGAAAGCGTTTACACACAGGAGCTTTCACACACACACACAGAAGCTTTTTAAACCGAGGAGTCTTACACAGAGGAGTTTTTATGCACAGACGCGTTTACAGAGAGAAGCCTTTAAAAAGAGGAGCTTTTGCACACAGGCGCCTTTTACGCACAGAACCTTTTGCACAGAGTAGCTTTTACACAGAGAAGTCTTACGCAGAGAAGCTTTTACGTACAGACGCGTTTACACAGAGAAGGCTTTACACAGAGGAGCTTTTTGCGCACAGAGAAGTCTTTACACAGAGGAGCTTTTGCACACAGAATCTTGTACACACAGACGCGTTCACACACAGAAGGCTGTACAAACAGACAACTTTACGGCGCACAGAACTTTTACATAGAGCAGCTTTTACGCAGCGAAGCTTGTACACACAGGGGAGCTTTTATACACAGAAGCTTTTACACAAAGATTTTATACACAGAAGCTTTTAGACACAGTAACTTTTACATAGAAGCTTTTACACACAGACGCTTTTACACAGAGTTGTTTTTACACAAAGAAATCTTTACACAAAGAAGTCTTGACACAGAGAAGCCTTTTACACAGAGCAGCTTTTTCACAGAGGAGCTTTTACACAGAGGAACTTTTATACAGAGAAGCTTGTACACTCAGAGGCTTTGACGCAGAGAAGTCTTTTACGCAGAGAAGCTTTTACACACAGAAGCTTTTACACAAAAAAACCTTAACACAGAGGAGCTTTTACACACAGAAGCTGGTACGCAAAGAAACTTTCACGAACAGAAAATTTTACACAGAGAGGACGCTTTACACAGAAGCTTTTACACACAGAAGCTTTTACACAAAAAAATCTTTACACAGAGACATTTTTACCCACAGAAGGTTGTATGCAACAAAAAATACGCACCAAAGCTTGTACACACAGATTTTGTTCACAAAAAACGTTACAATCCTTTACGCAGAGGAACTTTTACGGAAAGAAACTTGTACGCACAGACGCGTTTACACACAGACAGTAGCTTTTACGCATAAGAATTTTTGTACAGAGAAGTCTTTACCCATCTTTCATCATGTCTCATTTTTCATGATCATTCACCATCTGTCATCTTCACATCTTCCTTTTCATGCTCTTTTGGTCACCTCCCTCCGTCGTTTACTTTTCATGTCGCACGGTGTTCTGTCCGTCCACGCTTCGTCCTCGCTCCCTCTGGGGCGAAGCAAACTAAACGAGAACCCAGGAATAAATAGCGACTAGAAATCATAGGATAGGATTAATTACATGAGCAGAAATAGCGACTAGAAGAATGTAGACGTAGCTGACACAGCATGCTGTGGTGAATTGCATCCCCTGATGCCATCAGTGCGCACGATGTTTCAGTAAAGATCTTACGTCGATTTCGTGCAGAGCACAGCTGCCCGCACCACAAGATTTTTTAAAAAAAGGCGTGCTGTGTGCCGTCTTGCTTTTGGGTTCTCTGGCCCACCTTGTTTTCGAATGGGCCGTTTGTGGTTTATCCATTTTCTTCTACCGTGAGTCATAAAAATCGAGAATTGGCAGGAAAAGGTGCGCCACATTGTGGTCATTCCCAACTACAAGGACGGCTGTAGCATCAAACTTGGTACAATACTCTGGCAGTGTTTTGTTCCGCTAATGCAGAAGGCAATTCAGGGGATGAAAACAGATCGAACAAGTAGAATCTTCTGAGTACTCAAGTAAAAGGGTCGTGACCTTCAAGAAACTTTCTGAGCGAACAGATCAGCGGACAGAAGAGCAAATAAGGTGCCGGAATATCCAGATGCGGGATCGAAACAGTGGACCACCTACGGCACGGGTATATCTTGGATACTGGTGAATACTCATATATGACAAGTGTGTTTGCGCGAATTTGGATGATTGTCCATCAATAGAAACATGCAGTTGCCTAGAAACATGCAGTTGTCTAGAAACCATGAAGGGACCCCCTTTAGTGTGTTGTTGTCACGGTTGGGTTGGTGGGGTGGGGCAAGGGATCGGAATTTTAGAGTGGATTCTGTGAACTTCAGGACTTCAAAGTATGATATAATATAGACTCGTAGCTGTACTTTTTGTAAAGAATCATTGTGAATACATGAAACCCAAGGCAGGTCTCTGCGAACCATGTCAATGGTTTCCAAAGATGAAAATGGACGGGCAAAGGTTAGATTTGCCAAAACTTGGATTTATATGTATCATATATTCTGCAACACTGTATGTACGATATATATATATTATATATATGATATATATATATATCATATCTATATCTATATCTATAACATAGATATATATGATATATATATATATATTTATACAATACAAAATATATTATACTGTAATAACTATAATATATCTACATATATATGATAAATATAATATATTTAATATATATATATAATATACTTAATGAATAAATAAAAATATAGATATACAACATATAGATACAGTCACCGACAGAATTATGGAAAAAAAAACGTTTCCATTTGCAGGCGCCGCCTGTCTATGATAGAAAAGTTACGAACCTTTTTTTCCATAATTATTGTTTCCATAATTATTTTTTTCCATAATTCTGTCGGTGACTGTATGTCCATCGATTCGCAATTTGAATGCATTTTAAGGGGGAATATTGAATTATAGAAAATATGTGTCTAAAGATCTGGTATATGCCCCTAAGTCTTCCATTGATATACATAATATCATGTGATGTTCGCAATTTGAATGCATTTTAAGGGGGAATATTGAATTATAGAAAATATGTGTCTAAAGATCTGGTATATGCCCCTAAAGCCTGCCATTGATATACATAATATCTGGATGTTTCCTTTTGCCAAGCCACCAATTGGGTTGATACTAAGACTTGCATTTGCATACATATTTCCATAACCCCCCAAAAAAACGGGCTTGAATTGTGGATCCATGACATGTCCAACAGGTGGAGCCCCAAACATTAATTATGGAAAAAATAATTATGGAAAAACCGGTCAATCTGCCCTAGCCCCCTGATTTCACAGGAAAAATCAATTATTGAAATAATGGCCGCCTCCAAGAATTATGGAAAAAAAAAGGTTCGGATCACTTCCGGGATATTTTGAACCCTTATGGGGAAAAATCCAATTATGGAAAAATCGGACGCAGGCGCCGCCTGTCTAAGTTGAACGTTTTTTTCCCATAATTCTGTCGGTGACCATATTTCAAATATAATATATATATATTAATATTTAAAAATAAATATAAATATATACATATAAATATATGAAGCATAAATATAAATATTTATCTATAAGATACTTAAAAATCCAAACATATATAGTATATATATATAATATATATATAAGAGAATGCAATTAATCATAATATATATATATAAAATATTTAGTATTTAATACATATAATATGGTAAATATACAATGAAACATATATAAATATATATATAATATTTATGTTAAATACAATATACAATATATATATATAATATGAAAAATATATAGTATATATATGTAATATTTAATGTGTATAATATATGTATATACTATTTAATATATAAATACTATTAATAATACCAAATATATATATATAAATATAATATATAATATATATATAATATATAATATATATAATATATATAATATATATAATATATATAATATATATAATATATATAATATATATAATATATATAATATATATAATAATATATATAATATATATAATATAATATATATATATATAATATATATAATATATATTATATATATGATATATAACATATAAAAATTTTGATATTTACACTATATTTTAATTTATATAATATGTATAGTATATACAAAATCCCTAATATATAATATAAACATGATATATTTATATACAGTTAATATCAAAAATGTAATAGATAATATTAATGAATAATATATCAAATATATTTTTATATACAGTTAAGATTTAAAGTATTTCATTGACTTGATAAAGTGTATAACATATAATAAATAGTATATAATATACTATATATATAATATATCATTATATAATATACAATACATGAAAAATATAATATCTAATATTTAATAAATAATATATATGATTTGATATCTAATATATATATAACATATAAAATATATTTCTTTGCAAGAATATATAATATATTTTTTTCAAAAAATAATGCAGAATATTTTATATTTAATATTATATATATATACATTATATACATCATATATATATATATATCATATATATATATATAGATCATTCATATATATATATATTTATATTTTATATACTAAATATATATATATACTATATATATATATACTAAATATATATATATACTATATATATATACTAAAAAAATATATATACTATATATATATATATTTATAAAGATATATACATATATTAATATATATATATATATATTAATATATATATTTAATATATATATATAGATTACAAGGGCCCATGTTTGTGAAGCCTGTTTCCTGCAAAAAACGGTCTTTTTTTTTTGGGAATGCTTGATTGCACTGTTGCTGGGGCTCGCTGTGCAGCAATGCACACAGCCTCAGTCAAGCACCTATGGTGGCCATGAATGTGAGGAGGATGTTAGATGTCATGGCGGGGTACCTGAATCGACGAATGTTTGGGTATGTCTATTGTTGTAGGGTACAATCCTAGGAGCCACTTGAAAGAATCTTCATAGAGCTTCTCAAGGTGCAAGTGACAACAATTTCACACATTCAAGCCCATTCGCTCATATTTGCATGCCTTTGTTGCCAGCCTGAGGTATCCCTCAATCGCCACCGACCAGATTATCAGGAATTATGTCATGATAGGCTTTCAGAGTGGAAGCTAAAAGGAGATGAGCTATCCACACAATAGGCGTGAGGACATAGCAACAATGGTTGCACATGGTTGCACTTCTAGTCATGCCAGGTGGACCACCGGAAAACCCACCAGGAACAGGGGAGGAAGCTTATGTCACTTGCCCCCCAGGGGGAACATGGAGACCAGGAACAGCCAGGAATACGAGGATGCGGAAACTGCACCAGAATGACAGGGTTCCTGAGAGACGTCGGTGGGAGATAGAATAATATTCTCCAAAAGCAAAATCTCAGGAACGCTGCCGTTGTGGTAAAAACGTGATTTTGAACACACAAATTCTTTTTCTGTGACATAATCCACAGGGAATGGCCCGAAAACCCCTCGGGCAGTGTTACTCGTGGTCTCCAGTCCTATTAAGCAGACTTGGACATGTTGGCTGCTAGTTGTGTGTTGGCACGGTACCTCTGAGAGCCAACCCTTTTGCCAGCAGTATGCGTGCAACAACGGACATCACCCGGCACTGGAATATGTGTTGCATCTCAATGTCTACTTGTTGCGCTTCCCAGGGCACAATCCAAGCAAGCTCGCTTAAGCGTAGCGCATCTTGCGCCTTTGTGGCCGCACCACCCCAAACTCTAGTAGCTTCGGTTGCACCGGCTCAGGACAAGCAGGCAGTTCATGAATTGAGCAAGCCTGGAACGTAACTGCGATGCCCGGCACCAATGCCATGAAAGGAACGTTGCCGCTTCGGGGCTGCAAACCACAATCAGGCAGCATGGCTCAAGTGGAACAACCATGCTCAGAGCTGAGGTTGGCCGTCAGGGTCGGCTCGACGTAGTTCCTGGTATTTTCTTTTCAGCCATAATTTGGAAGCTGCGACAGCAAAGCCGTCAAGTGGTTGGACCAATGCAGCGCCTGTGCGGGTGTGCGGGGTGCTCGCCCTGCCACTGTCCCTTTGCAACTAGGCATCCTCGAGGACATTTTGGGCTGTAGAGAATATTGGTCACAGCACCTTCTTGCCGCTGCTCTCATGCTTCTGTTTCAAATATGCTAAAGTCAGCCAGAACACCGTCACCTGCCATTAGCGCAGGGCAAGGTGGGAGAGGAACGCACGGGATTAAACCTTGATGAGGGAAGGGTTTGGGGCCCCGAAACAGAGCCTAGAATCTGGCACCCAAAAAGTGTGCCCCCACTTCTTCCGGCCTCTGTTTCTGTCCCGCCCAAGGGTCCCAAAAATGGGGCCGCAAAACCGCCCACTTGCCCAGCCCTGGTGCGCAAAGTGTCCAGGGCTAACAGATCCGCATCTTGTAGCTTACCCCTGCGCAGCCACCATCGCCGCCGCCACCGGGCAACCCATTTGTTGGCGGACCTTCCGACCCATACTCGCAGAGGCACTGTCGCGTTCAAATTGCTGGAACCCGGCAGCTGCGTTTGTTCCCAGCCAGCGCTCCCTTTAATTGCTGCAGCTCCATGCATGCGAGAAAGGCTAGGGAGCGAAAAGAGATGAAACAGCCTGGCATGCACATATGTGTGATCTCGAGTTGAGCAGCCTGGCTGCCGTATGAAACGAAATGGTGTTGCACTGCTTTTCATGTAGGTCCTTGTCTGCAGGAACGGTGACTGCAAACAAAGTACAGCCCCATGCTCCGTATTTCTGGCTAGAAACCCCTTCCACAGCCTGCGTGTCCTAGCCTGGCTGCGGCGTGTAGAGTGATTGCACCCCGTTACAGCTACCCAGCACCACCATGGGCTATGAGATTGGCATGGATGAAGGACATGACTGCCGAGTGCAATTTCAAATTCTTCACACATGCAAAGAGGCACAGTTGCGATACGCTTTGGTCAATCCTAAGCACAAACATGTATTTCCATTGTATATATATATATATACTATATATATAATATATATTTAATATATATAAATATTTGATATAAATAAATAAATATATATATATATTGAATACAAATAAAAATTTGATATATATATATAAATAAATAAATAAATAAAGCAATAAATAAATAAATAAATAATATATATATATATATATATATAAATCAGTTTTACATATACCAAAATGGATGCATAATGATTCATGCTGGTTTCCACTATTATATAAGCAAAATTTGGAAGCTGTCTGTGGCTGAACATGCCAGCTGCTTGATTGGTCCGCTGACTGGTAGGTAGTCGACAAAGTGTCGGTGCTACTGGAAGCTGCCTGAGTTGATGGCTGCCAGAGTCACAAATATGATCTATATACATATGTATATGCATGTGCATGTATGTTGAATGTGTATATATACATATCTACAGAGAAGTAAAGAGGTTCTTGATTCTCCTCAGCTGTCCGCTGTGGTACCACACCGGTGATTTGAGGAGCCCGAGAATCTCCTGGACGATACACTACAGAGCCTGTCTGAGGCCTCCCAGCAGAAAATGCGCCAAGTAGCCACGCAGCAACCGAGTCCAACAAGAAAGTGCAAAAAAAACGGAAAAACACGCAAAAACATTGGGAAATGTGCAAAAACCACATTCTTCAACTTTGTATTTTTTCGTTTTTGACTGTGGTGATGCAGGTGACTGGTTCGAAGGATTTGTGGGTCATTCTAGCTATGGAGGTGGGGTCGCCGATCCAGCAGATTGTCAGACTGCCAGCCACGGCGGCTTGGATCTTCAAAGACAGGCACGGGAGAAAGAAGCAGAAGCAAAAGCGAAGAATCTGGAGGCAGGATTGTTTCGTTTTTGGCAGAATTGAAGCACGTCAGATGCAGTATTGCTGGAAGACATGCATGTTTGAGTTTCAGATACATTTGTTTGCCACTTGCTGGTTGAGGCAAAGTACACGTGTTTCGCAAAGATCATGTCCCACTTCCATCCAGAGAACCTTGAGGATCATCCTTCATCTGAACCGTGCATCGGGCTGCAATCAGCTAGATTGACAATGAAAAAAAAAAAAGATTCTTTATTGACCCCCTGGTGATTCAATGCTTCTTATGCCAATCCGATGCGTTGCAATGCGCAGCTAGGAGATCCACCTAGATGGGAGCAGAGAGGCAGAAGTCAAGGGCAAGGCTTCAAACCTCAAGTCCGCTGTCAAGAAGGTGCCACAAGCAGGACATGGTAGGATCATGTAGGTTTTTGACCATCTAAATGATTCAAACATGCAAAAATTAGATGTGACAAGGTGTGCGAAGAGGTTGACAAAGAGACGACCGACGAAGAGAAAGGGTCAAAAACCGTCCAACTGACAAGTCGTCCAACTGACGCCCGGATCTAAGATGAACTGATTTTTGAGCTGTTTGCATCATATGAATGGCTAGACACGAAGATGCATTGGGGAGAGTGCAATTTGTCAGCATCCACAATATATTTTGACAATGTTTCTGCACACACACGTGAGAGGAATCCACCTCGCTTCGCTTGATTCTTTATGCTAGCTTTGCCAAGCTCAAATTCAACCGCTTTTAGTCTCTCTGGATCCCCTAATTCTCCAGTTTGCACAATCACAATCAATCACAGTCCCAGAAGCTCCCCTACTCTTTGGTCACCTCTAGATAGCCGCCCTCGGGCAGTGTGTTGAGAATTCTGGGCCTCCAAGGTGCTGACAGTCATCGATGCAGACGTCATTCTGCATCCTATGTACTTCGCGCATATCAGCCGTGAGTTCGTAGCTAGGAAGGACATGAACACAAAATGACACAAACTTGCACAACTACATTGCACATATAATTACAATGCAATACAATGTAATACAACTTCAAGTCCGTTTTATATCCTGTCGAGCAGGTGCATGAGCCTGTGCTTTTCGATGTTCTGCAGGAAAACGGGGACGATCCCTCATACACTTTCTGGCAGGCCTGAAGTGGGCCTGCAGTCGGCCTGTAGTCCTACTTTTCCGCATAGGCATGGACGCTCTGATTTAGCTTCACTCATTGACGAGGCTCCTCAGCTCCCCTGGCGAAACTTCTATACATGCGCCTACCTTAGTGATCTTTAAACTTGAAGAACTCAATTAAAGGTTCAAAAGAGTTGAAACTGCTGTGGGAGCAGTGATGCAAGCATTCTTAATTTTGAGGCCCTGTAGTCTCGCGCGTGTGGGGGTGAGCTCGGCCGGTCAAATTGGTCACATCTTTCCTGACATGCCGACATGCCTCAATCATGCAAAGTCCTTTTCATTGTTCCTGGTAGACCTGGCAGAGGTACATCAGCTCTCTTTGGGAGTTCGGCGGAGTTGCTGGACTGATGTATGGCTCTCATCACATGGTCAGCTGCTCAGGAAGGAGCCACCGAAGCAGCACGCCACAATGTGGAATTTCAAGAAAGCGAAAGTATTCACTGTATTCACATGTATTCACCATGTCAGTTTTGTATTAAGATATTTTGAATACTGATGCGTTGCCAGTTTTTCGTCCTGAGTTCATGTCAGTCCAACCAATGTCTTGTACAGTATGAAATGATCCGAAAGGTCAATTCTCCAGTGTCCCCTTTGTTCTTGAAGAATAGAGCTTGCTTGCAAACTCTTGATGCTAAATTTACTTTGAAGTGCTTGGATTTGCTGAATTTTTGCGGATCTTGCCAAGCACTGCATCTTGCTTGTTTTCATGCTACCAAATTTTGCATCTGCTTCAGAAGTTGCAATCATATCTCCTTTTCCATTGTATATGATAAGTATATGATAAGTATATGATAAGTATATGCTAAGTATATGCTAAGTATATGATAAGTATATGTAGTATTTTGTAGTATAAATTTATATCCTCGGCTCATTGATCCTCAAACTCAGGCCAAACTCATGGCGGAAAGATGCACATTCTCCAGTCGCAAAAGAAGATCTATAAAATCTGATGGAATACATTGGAATACCATTACCACGGATTACCACGGATACCTGCCAAAGTGACTCATCCACAACTGTAGCCAGACAGCACAGAAAAGTGTGATCTGTTAGTAAATCCATGCATATAAAGTCATCATGAATCCTCTACCCATGTCATGCATATTCTAATACGATCAAACTACTGACATTGAGGAATGCCGCGACAGAAGCAACGAATTCCCTTGTTGAATCAACATCTCTGGACAGGTCTTCAGCGCCTACACTGTTCCCCTCGAGCTTGCGAGAGAAGCGGAGTGTTGGGACGGTGATGTGATTGCAGAGGACACTTGCAATACTTTGCAGGTGCACAGATAGGATCAGATATGCATGGCATCGTATGCATAGCTGTGGCATAGCTGGTACAGCTGTTTTCTGAAATTTTGAAATGCAATGTGCATTGATTTGGATGCACAGATTCAATGGCCTATCAACCAATCAACCAGGATCATCATGCCTTCCTCAAGGCTTGGTTCTATGCAGTATTCTTAGCAGTCCAGAAGGAGGCCTGACACTGCTTGGATTGTATTTAAGTGGCATTGTGCTTCAACACGTTCAACTCCAATCTGCTAGTGAGTCTGCCTTGACGCTTCTCTTCGCCGGGAGGGAACTGCTTGTTCTCGGGTCCAAGTAAGACCAGTCTGTCACCCAGTTGAAGCAAAAAGAATCACTTGACAATTTTGTAATTTTTGTTTCAACTTTGATCACTTTGTAATTTTTGTTTGGGGATTCTGGGCCGAGCTACGGCATGCTACGGCATGCTACGGCATGCTACGGCATGCTACGGCATGCCGGATTGGGACAAAAATGCAACTTGACCAGAGCAGCAGAGCTAGTTGCAGCTAGTTGTGCTGCACAGACTTGACAGCTTCACAGACTTGACAACTTGACAGCTTCCCCTTCTTACAACTTACATTAAACCTGAAGGTGATGCTCCCCTCGAAGTCAACATCGGTGAGCTCTGACGATGGCTACTGGTCATCTTGGGCTGAACGCTGGGACCAGGCCTCATGAGACACATACAAAAAAGAAATTGATGGCCCAAGATCGGTTGGTACATCCCACACTGGCAGTCGACTGCCCTATGCTCCGCATGGTACCAGGCCAAACGGCATGCCCAAGGAGTGGCAGAGCTTTCTTATGCCAGAACCTAAAGATGCGACAAGATGCCCTCAAAAGCCTTCGCAGCCCTTGAAGTAAACTAAGCAACTTGAAGTCAACTAGCGAAAATGGCAATCATGAGTGATCTGCGGCAGTCCATACCCACAAGCGTGTCGCTCGCACGAGGCATTGTTGGCTGCATGGGATATGCTCTCCTCATTGCCAGCTGGAGACCAATGCCCGATTTTTTTGAAAGTGTTGCTTTCTGCTCCCTAGTTGTTTGCAGGCAAGCTTAGCAGCATCGGTGCTTACCCCTGTAACTGCAAACAACCTTGAGCAACCGATTGTGTGTCCCTGGTGTGTCCCTGGATACCTTCCGATTCTGGCGCTGAGGTCACTTCTTTGGGGCCAACCTTCCTTTGGAGGCTGCTGAAAATCGTCGGAACCCATGGGGCCTCCGGCCATGGTAAGAGCATATTCAGGCAATATTAAGGCCATTGCAAGCGGAGCTAGCTTTGAGTCTGTCACTTGCAAAGTTGCGCCTTGGTGAAACTTGTGTGCTCGGCTTGCTTAAGGTCTTCAAGCCATTCATGATGCATATTGTATCGACCTTGCAAGCCATCTCGTTGCTGGCATGCCGGTCACGATTGATCTGATTGATCTAAAGTTGTTGAGTCTGACGCAATGATGTTGACCGTCAAACTGGATCGACGGCGTGTAGCTTTACCATGCAAAGCATGGCATGGCAGGTATTGACGCTTTACTGGCTTGCAAATCACAATCAAATTCCTTGGTGTTCGACGCCTAGAATTAAGACTGAGTACCCATGTTCTCATCTTAGAAAGTCAGGCAAAGTACACTTCACATCGTTTACACACCAGCCAAGGACAGTACTTGCATACAATCTCACTCGTAGGATGGCCTCAAACTTCATTTCCGTCACAACCGTGAGTGAAGCTTGTACATTGTACATATATAATATATGTATATATGTGCATTTTATGTACAAATCTTCACATAAAAATATAATTATACGTATATATACATATACATATTCAGTATAAGTTCTGCAAGAAAGTATATATTCATGCAATGGATCCAAGAGTTCCATGGAATCTCGAACCGCATGTGATGGCTCATCAAAGAAAGAAACACTATTCACAAAAGTGTACTTGAAAGCTGGATAGTGGCATCGCCCAAAGGTTCCAAGGCCATGCACGGAAGTCCATTGTATTGTCAAAGCACCAAGAAAGCCTGCCCTGCACAAGTTGCACAGCCTGGTGGAAGATGGTGGAAGTGGATGAACGCTGGAACGCAACTCTTTTGAATATCCATACTTCATTGCAACTCAAGAGCTACACACAGCAAAGAGACCCTGCACTTTTTTACGCAGTGTATGGAGGTGCAATGAGTGTCCCCAACATTGTGTACCTTCACGAAAAGTCCAATGTTACATCATGAGTCACAGACTGGCACGAAGCAATGCGAAGGAAAGCATGCAAATGTACAGTTTTGATAAGAATGGTTGAAGAAATTGTACGCCGCGCACAACAAAGTCACAAGCTTTCAAGTGCTGGAGAAATGCCTACTATCCTATCTCTCTAAGCCGAATTTTGCCGGGATCTCCTGTTGAACTACAGTATAGTATGTATAGTTAGTATATACAAACAAACAAACACACATATGTATACATATATATATAGAGGTATAGGCATAGGTTGCTCCACTTGATTTGTCTTGCAACTTTCTGCCCATGCTGCAATGTGAAAAAACCCTGGAAAGCAGAAGCTGTCCTAGAAAAGTGCATAATCTGTAACAACAAACATACGCACAGACACTAAAACTTGGTGGGTATGCAAAGATACCTACTGCATCCTCTTGCACAGGATGGATTTTGCTTCTGTGCTCCAGCATAGTGATTCAAGACGATTAAAGACTGCAGCCAAAAAGGAATCCATTCGGCCTCGGGCTCACTGTTGACTTGTAATATACTTGAATGTTAGAGTATTTGTTGACTTGTATCAGTTGAGGCCCGGACCACATCGTGCTGACTGATATGGGCAGAGCAGGACACTGGAGCAATTAGAGCTGCAGAAGACCGGAAATTGCTGTATTTCGATGTTGAAATCAGCTCAGATCACAAAAGGAGATACTCTTCTTTGCGGCCTGGCTGGTGCTTGGGTGCGCGCCAGAGATGGACTTCCTTCTTGTATCTAGCATTGCGGCATAGGCAGCATAGGTATAAACAAACACATGTGTGTTATACATAACGTATCGCATCGTGCCACATATCTTAGAGCTGTATAGACAAACATCTCAGAACTGTACGGATCTAGTGCGAGCACTAGCAGGTGTTGCGGGGGGACTCTTATAAACGCGTGTGTCCTTCGAGGTTCTGGCTTGGCCAGTTGTGATCCCCTTCATGCTTTTGATCGTGCGCCCGTCCCTAGCAAGCTTGTTGATATGCTTTTCTTGCTCCCCTGCAATGGAAGAGTGCCTGGAAAGGGCAACCGCAATGCAGGCCTCCAACTTTGTCATGATCCGCATTTGCTTCCTTTTGCCTGGAGAGAGGCCCCAGGACCTCCCACAAGCTGCAGCTGGATCCAGCTAGATCAAGCAAGACTTCACAGCTGCAGAGATGTCAGATGCACTTGAGAGGAGAGCAGTTGGCACAGAGCTGACGGTGATGTAGCCGGCTGGAAAAGTGATGGCCTTAACCATAGCACACACACACATCAACCTTGCGTTTGATACCTTGAAGCTATTGTTGCAAAGGATACACAGAAACATCCCCAAAACTTTCTAAGCACTACGGTGGGTGAGAGCTTCGGACAGGCTTCTTTTTTTGGATGCCAGCAATGAATCACAGCAGAGGGAAGATCAGACAAGCAGTTTCAGAATCGCCTGGATTCTATTTGGAATCGGATAGTCTATGGGTTTTCGCAGAACAGGAGCAGCTATCAGTTGCACCCGGACCCACAATAAGAAAACTACTGGAACAAGCTTTTGATTAAAGCACACATAGGCAAGCAGTTGAGTTTGAGTGTGTTTATCAGGTGTACATACAGTATACAATAGATTAAATATTATACATTTGCATGGGTATATAGATACGCACCTCTATATCTATATCACACATGTATGCTGTATACTGTATACGGTGTACTTGTGTGCACATGTGTGAAGGTTGTATTTGTAATGTTCCATATGTGTGTATTCATGCCCAAATGCAAAGAAACGAGTGCACGTGTGACTGTGGCATCCACTTCCCAAAAAACTTTGCCTCAAAGTCAGCACACAAAATGCGCGTGTCAATTGCATAAATGATTTTGGTAGTGGGGGTGTAACGTACATTGAGATACTTACTGTAGGAGAGTTGCACGCTACCGAGTGGTGCTCAGTGCGCCTGTTTAATTGCACTTACCCTGCGCCCCCATTGCAACATTTTGCCGATCCCCAAGGGTTAAATCAGACAAACCTATCCAGAGAGCAGTGGCTTCATTTGGAAAGAAACAACAATCGGGCTGCGTATGACAATTTTGCGCTGTGCAGACTGGCCACCCAGATTTTTGCCCGTATGATCACATATCACTTTTCATACACAGACAGATGCATGTCAGTACATGCTGTGCACGGGTAAACAATCTGTATGTCAAACGGTTTGTCCTCGAAAAGTTTCTGCAGTGGCACACAAGCAAGAGATTTGTTTGGAAATGTTTTGCCTTCGTGGATTTGTACTTTCACTGAGCATTTCAGCCAGTTGTCTTGACTCGTGATCAGGTCGTTTTCTCGGGCCCCTGTTCGGCCTATCCCTCATTGGTTGTCGTCTTGCATGGCCAAAAAACTGTAGACTAATTGGCTTTGACTGAATCGGAGGGTCTTTTCAGGTTCCAAGCAATTTGCGACTCTTTGCCTCCTCCTTTTCGATGTTGTGATTTGTTTTGGCCCAATCATGGTCGGGTAGCCAAGAACTTCACAATAGACACAAACATTGTGAAGCCAGAAAGTTGCAGAGCATTTCCTCAGGCTGTCTATGGCGTCCTGGTGGAGCTGGTGGCATATTGCAATGTGCTTCTGAAAGGAAATCGTTTCGAGTGCGCCGAAGCTGAACAATGCACAACACATTGGGTCCTAACATGTGGACCTGACGATATGGGGTTGTACTCCCAACCAGCTGCATGCTCGCTGTGAGTGGTAGTTTCAGTGATTCTATATTGCTGTCGTGCCAGATGCTGTAATGCGCTGTGGCAGTGCCAATTTGGCTGCATTTTCTAATTCCCCTAGCCAAGCTTAATTGGGGCTCCTGCTTCAAGCATAGGCAGAGTTGCATGTTTGCGTTTTGGAGCTGGCTTGCTGGTGCCGCTGCAGGGTGCCGCTGCAAGGTGCCACTGCAAGGTGCTGCTGCAGGGCGCTGCTGTCAGAGTGCGGTGTGCGCTGTGGAGTTCGGGGCTGGTGCCGGTCCAGGGCGCCGCTGGTGTGGAACTTGGGTGCTGGTGCCGCTGCAAGGGGGTCGCTGCGAGATATCTATGGCAGTGCGGGCGTTGGGGCCTGATGGATACGCCATATCAAGAAAGGATAATGTTTGGTTGTGCCATTTGGGGTCTATTCTGGCGTAATTTTTAAAGATTGTGCCAACACAGGCCCCATATGGAACGAGGTTCAGTATTTCCTTACAGCACCGGTGTGCCAAACCAGCACACCACAACAGCAATTTGCCCAGTCCACCACGGCAGACAAGGCTTGCTGCAGCATCATTCCTTGCTCCCAAAAATCAGAACAAAACAAATGAAATCCCTTTTCAAAATTAAAAAACATAGTTAGGTAGGCACAATGCACCGGAGACATTGGTTGCCTTTTTGCTAGTGCTATGTGTGGCAGTAGAATCTAGTAGGCGGCACGTTTGAATGCGAGTCAAGGGCCCAGTGACTTAGAATTTCCTTTTCAGGTACAAGACAGCTTCCAAGAGTCTTGCAAATAGTGTTGCTGCATCCTGCGATTCATATGGAGCCACCAACTCAGCTCAGGACCTGGGTTTGCGCTGGTAGATTCATGTAGATTCCTGATGTACTGCATACGAGTGTTTTGGGCATCTGCCTATGCAGGAGACTTCCTGCGATCCGTCATAGGGCATCACCTAAAACGATGAGTAACCCTCTGTTTGAGTGGCTCAGATATTTTGCGTTCTTGTCACCTTGACCCTGCAAACATCTGTTAGAAATTGCATCGGTTCTGCACAATGCAGAAGCTGTAGACAGTGACGCATAGGCCGAAAAAGGAACGAGTTTGGCCACGGATGTTTGGACATTCACGTTATATAAAAGTTATATTTAAGGGCTGCCGCCCCTGCCGCCGACCCCGGACAAAAAAAGAGGTTCGCAGGAGAAGAGACGACATATTAACAGCGTCAAAATCGAGCCCAAAAACTCCACTGCTGCTGCTGCTGCTGCTGGTGCGGCTAAACTTGCTTGTCTTTGCTTTACTTCTCCTGCTGCTGCTGCGCCTGCTGCGGTAGTAGTCCGAAACAAGAGTCAAAAGTATTATTGCTGCTGCTGCTGCTGCTCCTGCTGCTGGTGCGGCTAAACTTGCTTGTCTTTGCTTTACTTCTCCTGCTGCTGCTGCGCCTGCTGCGGTAGTAGTCCGCCAAAAACTGCCTAACGTCCCTTCTGAAACCCTAGAAAAACAATAGTTTTGGACAAGGTTTTATGGTTTTCGACCACCACTGTTTCTACAATGAGACATAGAACCCTCCTGTTGCTCCTGTTGCTGCTGCTGCTCTTCCTCCCGAGGCTGAAAAAACGCACCCTCCCAGACAAGGAAACACAGTGGCCCTGAAGGACGGAACAGCGCCAAAATCGAGCCCAAAAACTCCCTAACGTCCCTTCTGAAACCCTAGAAAAACAATAGTTTTGGACAAGGTTTTATGGTTTTCGACCAATTTTTATACCAGTGTTTCTACAATGAGACATAGAACCCTCCTGTTGCTCCTGTTGCTGCCGCTGCTCTTCCTCCCGAGGCTGAAAACGCACCCTCCCGGACAGGGAAACACAGTGGCCCTGAAGGACGGAACAACGCCAAAATCGAGCCCAAAAAGTCCCTAACGTCCCTTCTGAAACCCTAGAAAAACAATAGTTTTGGACAAGGTTTTATGGTTTTCGACCATTTTTTATACCAGTGTTTATACATGGAGACATAGAACCATCTGTGCTTACTTGTTGCTGGGCTGCTCTTCCTCCGTTAAGCTCCCCGAGGCTTGAAAAAAATACGGGCACCCTCCCGGACAGGGAAAAACCAGTGGCCATATGAAGGACGGACACAGCGCCAAAATCGAGTGCCCAAAAAAACTCCCTAACGTCCCTTTGAAAAACTAGAAAAAACAATAGTTTTGCGACAAGGTTTTACAACATGAGATGGGTGTCTCGACCCAATTTTTATACCATGTTTCTACAATGAGACATAGACCCCTCTGTGCCTGTGTGCGAGGGCGGATCTTCCTCCCGAGGATTGAAAACGCACCCTGCCGACAGGGGAAAAACAAGTGGCCTGGAAGGACGGAGTCACAGCGCCAAAATCGAGCCCAAAAACTGCCTAACGTCCCTTCTGAAACCCTAGAAAAACAATAGTTTTGGACAAGGGTTTATGGTTTTCGACCAATTTTTATACCAGTGTTTCTACAATGAGACATAGAACCCTCCTGTTGCTCCTGTTGCTGCTGCTGCTCTTCCTCCCGAGGCTGAAAACGCACCCTCCCAGACAGGGAAACACAGTGGCCCTGAAGGACAGAACAGCGCCAAAATCGAGCCCAAAAACTGCCTAACGTCCCCTCTGAAACCCTAGAAAAACAATAGTTTTGGACAAGGTTTTATGGTTTTCGACAAATTTTTATACCACTGTTTCTACAATGAGACATAGAACCCTCCTGTTGCTGCTGCTGCTCTTCCTCCCGAGGCCGGAAACGCACCCTCCCGGACAGGGAAACACAGTGGCCCTGAAGGACGGAACAGCGCCAAAATCGAGCCCAAAAACTCCCTAACGTCCCTTCTGAAACCCTAGAAAAACAATAGGTTTGGACAAGGTTTTATGGTTTTCGACCAATTTTTATACCAGTGTTTCTACAATGAGACATAGAACCCTCCTGTTGCTCCTGTTGCTGCTGCTGCTCTGCCTCCCGAGGCTGAAAAAACGCACCCTCCCAGACAGGGAAACACAGTGGCCCTGAAGGACGGAACAGCGCCAAAATCGAGCCCAAAAACTCCCTAACGTCCCTTCTGAAACCCTAGAAAAACAATAGTTTTGGACAAGGTTTTATGGTTTTCGACCAATTTTTATACCAGTGTTTCTGAAAACGCACCCTCCCGGACAGGGAAACACAGTGGCCCTGAAGGACAGAACAGCGCCAAAATCGAGCCCAAAAACTGCCTAACGTCCCTTCTGAAAACCTAGAAAGACAATAGTTTTGGACAAGGTTTTATGGTTTTCGACCAATTTTTATACCACTGTTTCTACAATGAGACATAGAACCCTCCTGTTGCTCCTGTTGCTGCTGCTGCTCTTCCTCCCGAGCACCCTCCCAGACAGGGAAACACAGTGGCCCTGAAGGACGGAACAGCGCCAAAATCGAACCCAAAAAGTGCCTAACGTCCCTTCTGAAACCCTAGAAAAACAATAGTTTTGGACAAGGTTTTATAGTTTTCAACGAATTTTTATACCACTGTTTGTACATAGTTTTCAACCAATTCTTATACCATTGTTTGTACAATGAGACATAGAACCCTCCTGTTGCTCCTGTTGCTGCTGCTGCTCTTCCTCCCGAGGCTGAAAAAACGCACCCTCCCAGACAGGGAAACACAGTGGCCCTGAAGGACGGAACAGCGCCAAAATCGAGCCCAAAAACTCCCTAACGTCCCTTTGAAACCCTAGAAAAACAATAGTTTTGGACAAGGTTTTATGGTTTTCAACCAATTTTTATACCACTGTTTCTACAATGAGACATAGAACCCTCCTGTTGCTCCTGTTGCTGCTGCTGCTCTTCCTCCCGAGGCTGAAAACGCACCCTCCCGGACAGGGAAACACAGTGGCCCTGAAGGACGGAACAGCGCCAAAATCGAGCCCAAAAACTCCCTAACGTCCCTTCTGAAACCCTAGAAAAAGAATAGTTTTGGACAAGGTTTTATGGTTTTCGACCAATTTTTATACCAGTGTTTCTACAATGAGACATAGAACCCTCCTGTTGCTCCTGTTGCTGCTGCTGCTCTTCCTCCCGAGGCTGAAAACGCACCCTCCCGGACAGGGAAACACAGTGGCCCTGAAGGACGGAACAGCGCCAAAATCGAGCCCAAAAACTTCCTAACGTCCCTTCTGAAACTCTAGAAAAACAATAGTTTTGGACAAGGTTTTATGGTTTTCGACCAATTTTTATACCACTGTTTCTACAATGAGACATAGAACCCTCCTGTTGCTCCTGTTGCTGCTGCTGCTCTTCCTCCCGAGGCTGAAAACGCACCCTCCCGGACGGGGAAACACAGTGGCCCTGAAGGACGGAACAGCGCCAAAATCGAGCCCAAAAACTGCCTAACGTCCCTTCTGAAATCCTCTAGCAAACTAAGCAAGAAGCTAGAAATAAGCTCAAAACTTCCACCTTCCAGGCCGCCAAAACACGGGAGCCGCCAGCCTCAAACACCATGGCAGTGAAGGACGAAGAAGCCACGAAACGGCGCCGAAAAACTGCCTAACGTGGCTTCTGAAATCCTATGGCAAACTAAGCTAGAAGCTAGAAATAAGCTCAAAACTTCCACCTTCCAGGCTGCCAAAACACGGGATCCGCCAGCCTCAAACACCATGGCAGTGAAGGACGAAGAAGCCACGAAACGGCGCCGAAAAACTACCTAACGTGTCTTCTGAAATCCTATAGCAAACTAAGCTAGAAATAAGCTCAAAACTTCCACCTTCCAGGCCGCCAAAACACGGGAGCCGCCAGCCTCCGATCAAGGCGGGAAGGGCAACCCAAGGAGCCCCACGTACCTCGAGGAGACTCCGGGAAGGACCCCCCACCGGTAAAACAAAAACCCCGGAGTCAATGAATCGACGTACGTGACCGGTGGGAGGGGGACCCAACAGGGTCCCCCGGCAAAGGGTCATTGTTGTTGTTGTTGTTGTCGTTGTTGTTGTTGTTGTTGCTGTTGCTGTTGCTCTTGCTGTTGCTGCCAGAATATAAAATTAAAATAGAATCCTGCTGCCTGCTGCCGCTGCTCTTGCTGCTGGTGCGGCTAAAACTTGCTTGTCTTATTCCCTGGCGCTCTCCCCCTTGCGTCTGCCGGGGTCGGCGGATATATATATATAGTAAAACCATAGTAAAACCATAGTAAAACCATAGTAAAACTCAATGTGCCTGAATGACGACTGTAGGAATTCTGGGTCTCAAGGTCTGCAATTGTGACCCAGTAAATTTCAAGAAGATGTTTTCAAGTGCTGTAAGCAGGAGCTTAATCACGTGTGCCTTGTGCAGCCCAGGACTATTGGCGTTTGTCTTTGTTGTGCTTCCTGGCCAAAGCAGATGTGGTGCGCTGGTCCCTTCTGTTGAACATCCTCCGACAATTGAATCCTCTGGTCGCGGAAAGTGTCCCACAGACTCTGATCCCGCGGCTCTTGTGGCAGCTTGGATGTCCAAGGATATAATCTCTTTAGATCTCAACCCCTTTGATGATCTTTGATCTACCTCTGTTTTAAGAAGAAATCTTGAGCGCATCTTTTGACCTTGTGGATGCGGAGATTTCCAAGAGATTGCCATGAGTCTACTTCATCAAGATTCACTTCTACTTCTCAAGGTGGCTAGAGTCCTGGAGTACTATCCCATCCATGTTTCTGGCTTCATACCCGTCATACCCCCCATCTTCCATGGGATTCCATGGGATTCCATGGGATTCCATGGGATTCCGTGGGATTCGCCAGGCATCTTCACCAGAACTGCCTGGAGAACGACTCGCTGCTGCTGGAAGCCCATCCCTTGGCCAAGCAACTGGCAACGCAGCTGACGGCGGCGAAACGGCGCTGGGCTTCAGAGGACCTGGCGACGATGGCCGGCAGCCTGGGCTATCTGGGCATCATCGATGTCCGCTGCTCGGAGGAGAGGAGTGCTTGGGGGTTGAACGTTCAAAGCTCAGACAACTGTGGATGTACATATACATAATAAATGTATACATATGTATGTTATAGTCAATATTTGCACCATACCAATGACATGGTAATTGTATATCCACACAGATGGAACAGCTGGCAGGCCATTTGGGAACAGCTGGAGGCTGGTTCGGCCCAATTTTCGCAACAAAAAAATGGACACTCTTTCCAGCTGGTTGGTGTCAATATATGGTTCAAAGTTTCATGAAGATGATGGGAATCCGGATTTGAGAGCCTAGCAGTCGAGCAACCAGTGGGACAGGACATGTCCGCCAGACCCTGAGCCAGGCAGCTGAGGAGGAGGAGGTTGCACCTGCAATGCTGCAAGCAGGGTCTGGCTCCCAGTGGTGACTTCCATCGCAGCACGGGAATGTCGATGCAGAAACTCTCAGAAACTCGTAGGCCTGGATTTTGCCAGTGTCCAACCAAACCCTGTGTATAGGCTCGGGGAATGACCAGGGCTCTCTTCCATCCACGCAAAGCATTGGCACATACGCCATTATATACGCTAGACTCTTTCAATTTTCTAGTTGATTTCCAACAATAGATGGGTTTGTCCGACAAACAAATTGCAGCGATTTTGACTTGGACCATGATGACAACCTTCTGGTTTTTTCTTCTCGGGATTCCCGGATTTTCCAATCTTGTTCAGACAAACAGTACTAGCATCGTGTTGGTCGTGTATCCCTCTGGTATCCACTCAACATCTCATGTCTACAAACACCTCATTGGAAATTTCATGAAACATATCCCTATATATATATATCTTTATATATATATATATCCCTATAAATATCCCATTCAATGTATTTCAATATGACAACGGCCAGATGACTCCGACTTTTCGGAGCGGTAGCTTGGCCGCTCCTGCCGCTCCGGCCAGGTGGGCGGCCTGCGTGGCGAGCTCGGCGAGCTCGGCGAGCTCGCAGGGATTGGGTGCAGGCGATCGAGGGCTGTGATGGGACATTTAATGGTGATTAATAGGGATTTAATGGTGATTTAATGATGATTAATGGTAAACTAACAGTTTGCTATTGAACATGGCTATTTAGTTGGTTGATTTACCCACTAAAAATGGTGATTTCCATAGTTGTAGTAGATATATCTATTCTGGTTGGTGGTTTGGAACCATGGAATTTTGCATGACTTTCCATTCAGTTGGCAATAATCATCCGAATCCCAACTGACTTTCATATTTTTCGGAGGGGTGGCTCAACCACCAACCAGTATTGAACATGGCCATTCAGTTCGTTGATTTACCCATTAAAAGGGATGATTTTCCACAGCAAACTGTTGGTTGACCAGAGGGTCATCAGCAAATCTTGGATCAAGTTTTTTCCATCCTTTTCCATACCTGGGATGGAACAAAGCCCGACGTGTTTTTGGAGCTCAAGCGGTCAAAAAACGCTCACGTTTTCGTTTTAAGTTCGACTACTGTATGATAACCGTATATATTGTCTCTGCATCGTTATGGCGTTGCACGGCCTCCTCTTGACCATCTTCTTGGGATGTCACTTCGACAGCCATGCTCTGCGAATCGCGAAGATCGCGAAGACCGCGCAGCGGCAGCGCTGGCACCGGCACTGGCCACAGAGATGGGGTAGGTACCACTACCATCCGCGGCCGCAGAAGTCCCCCTATATCCAGATTCCGCCGGACGTGGATGTGCTCCCAAAAGACAACAGCAACCTCTTGGGTGCTCAATGCAACTGGGGCGGGATGAATTCCTATTTTCTGTATGCCCAGGAAGTGACGAATCAGCATAAGACCTTGAAGGCGATGAGCGATTGGGGCTTGAAAGTGCTGCGCATTTTCATCGACACCGTTCCTCGCAATCACAAAAACACCAAGAGTCAGTTTGTGGATTTCCTTGAGCCAGATCACATGGGTCCGCCCTATAAAACCCAAGTCTTGGACCTCATCAATGATCTGATGGTCAGGGCACACGACTATGGTGTGAAGCTGGCCATTGCCATGCATGACCGATATTCGCTGGGGTGTTATGCTTGCGATGGCTATCAAAAAGAGCTGGGATTGTTTTGTGCCCCAGCGCACAACAAGAAATGTGGACCCCTGTACCTTGCTAGCATCTTCAACCAAAACAACAAAACAACCTCAGCAAAAAATACCTCAGTTGTTTTGATTGGTATTGAGTTCCCAAACAAACTCAAAGAGAATGCCGTAATTTCTGGTGACAGAAGTGGTTCCTGGCACCAGCACCTGATCACACTCCTCAGAGCCCAGATCTCTGCTAGCCCGCATAAAGAGAAAGACATGAGGAACGATGCATCAGAATTCTATACGAATGCGACCGCGATCTCCTACTATGACCAGCGCTTGGAGTTTATCTTGAAATATCGGAATCTCTGCTGCATGAATGCATATGAATGCCCCCATAGATTGTCGCTGGTTTATCCATAGAGGGGCCATCTCCATGGTTCACAAACAAGATGTGCAGATGATAATAACTATACCAACGCAGCCCCTCTATTTTTTTTACAAGAGGGCACTGTTTCTTTGTTTCTTTGCTAAAAGGCGTTTCGCGCTGTTTTTGGTGGGGTTTTGCCCAGCCAAGGAATCTTCATTTCAACAAGACATGGGGTGAACTGAAAGAAGTGGTGGCCATGTTCGAGGTTCGGGACCCATCCAGCCAGAGTGTCCATGCAACATCTGGAGGATTTTAGCGTTAAAAGATGTTAAAAGTATAGCACCCTATAGAGATGTTATTCTTCGTGGTGGTGGAGCCACTTTGGTACAGAAAAAAAGGCCCGCAGCCGTTCCAGTGATTTGGTCGTCATTTGGACCATAGATGTCCCAAATTCCCATTGGTTGGTTGGTTAATAGAGGGGTTTGGAGAAACCCCTTTAACAACAGGTAAATGATGATAGATGGTATACCAAACCGGCCCCTCTATCTTTACCAACAGGACATTATTGATTTGGACATACTTGGACCATTTCCATCCATTTCCAGGTTCAAAACGAAGCACATGGCTTCGATCCTCGTCCATGGCCAAACGACTGGCACTGCGAGCGTGCAAAAGTCATGAAAGCACACATGGATCCCGTCCCTGGGTTCCGACGTGACATGGAATGGCGAGCTGAGCTTTTTTGGCTTAGTGAAACACGAGGTGAAAACTGAAAACGTTGATAAAAACGGATATTTTATGGATGTTTATGGCAGATATATCATGAACTATCATGATAAATCATGATATTTTCATATATCTATACTTAATTGGATTTATATACTAACAAAGGTACCTGGGGTGGAACCTGTTTTAATATTTTTCCGGTCATTGGTGAGGCTATTTATATTGGCACGGGCGGTGGTCGAACCTTCAGCGAAAGCACATTGATAGAACATTTCAATTGTTCTGAGATCGATGTGGTGACTTGGATGTGCTTAGCGTTTTTTTTTAAACAATTGCCATAGGTAAATCCACCATGACTGGGCAAGGTACTTACTTGGCGAATATTTGGGTCCAAATTTAAAGACCCCAGAGATTTCAGTCCATTGTTACTGTTAGTATTAACATGTATTAACTATCCCATGATTGGGGTACCTACTGACTTGACCTTTTGGCCCATTATATTCCATATATCCCATATATTCCATAATATTCCATATATTCCATAATGTTCCATATATTCCATATATTCCATATATTCCATATCCATTGAAGTCACTTTTTTGGGAAGCTGCGAAGCAAAAAAAAGGTGACGCTACATGATTATGATGCCTGCACGTGGCTGGAGATGGACCACAATTTGACGGATGCCAAAAAGCTCAGTATGACATATAACAAGAGTCTGTGGCAAAGTTAGTCATCTCCAGTTTGCACCTGATAAATCTACGTACAGAAGGTCATGTGTGTTTTTCCGTTTTTTTTTCCACTGTTTTTTTTTCCACTGCTTTGGTGTGATTTTCTTCCACCAGTCCCGAGGAAGATCCTCTATGAGGAGTTTGGCAACCAAAAACAGTCCTATCGACCAGACTACTATTACGCAATTCTCACCGCTGCGAATCGCAACGGCATTCCATTTATGCCCTGGGAATTTCTCATTCCGCCCAGCACAGGTGATCAAGGCGGCTTCGAGTTCAGGCGTCATATCCAGTGCTGGTCTTCGGTGTGCTGGTTGCCAACCGGACAGCTGCAACCCACCGATGGTCCAATTTGGAACTCTGCGGTGTCGACGCGTAGGATGGAAGGCTGGCAGAGTGTGACAGGCCTTTTGATCATTTTTGATCATCACTCCTTTTGACATAGACTTTCAAACTTTCAAGATGGGCACAGATGCCGTGCAATTCGATGTGCCTGGGGCATGGTCTTCATCTGATTCATTCAATGACCACTCTTGGATTTTGGATCGTGCCTGGGGTTCTCGGTTTGAAACTATCCTGCCGGCACTTGAATTTTGCAGGGCGAAAACAAGGGACGCAGGCTGAGAACTTCCGTTCAAGTCTGAAATCGCCAGCAAAAAAGGGGGTGTACCACCCAAAAAGGAGCAAATTTCGGGCTTCAACATCCGATCAAACGCATCTATGTCTCTAATAATTACCCAGTATTTTCCATGTATTTTCCATGGTGTTTTCCACGGTAATCCCCCCATTTCTGATGGTCGAAGCCATCAAAACAGAGGACACCAGTGCCTGCAGCGCCAACGACACGCCTTGGTCGCTGCCTTGGCAGCGACGAAACCGCTGGAGCGGCTGGCGCAGCAGCGGAGACAAGTGGCCTTGAGTCTGCAGGCAGTGCAGGCGCTTCAGCGGCTCGGTTTTGGCAAGCCAATGGATGATGGCGATTTTGAAGTACAACCCTCAAGAAGATTCAGAAATGGTGGGTCTGTTTTTCGATCCTTCAATTCCTTGGGCTAAACTCAATGACCCAGTTTTGGGAACCGTGCTTAGCCTCTGGTAATGTAACCATTTGCTATGTATCAACGGGCCACTTTCCATGGCTATGTTGGTTTGCAGGAGAGTAGTTGGTTTTCCTCGAGTACCATACAGAACCACTGGCAATTCTCAGGAAAGTCTGAGATGAACTGAGGCAAGCCAATGCTGCAGATGAAAATGAACCACTGGTGATGCCTGGCAGGGCTTTCTTCACACCACATAGGTGCGAAATGATCCGCAAAACGTGGCGGGAACTTTGGCAATGTATGTGTTTTCTGAGGGGTTTTATTGCAGGTAAACATTAGATACTCATGTGGTAAACCCAAAAATAAACCATCAGAGGTTTATGATTGGGACCACAATTTTGAGCTTTGCCGGGTGATAGTAGGAAATGCTAATTCTAGAAAGCGGGCTTTTCCGGCATTTTTTCCCTGAAACTTCCAGGCCAGTGTTTGCTAAGTTTGGGATTTACCGTATCCCCAACTTGCGGCAATTTTAATGGGGAAAATAAGGTGTTGAACTTTAATCCATAATTTTTCTTGGGGAGCTTCTTTCGCTTTTGTGAAAGTAGAGACTGTCGCAGCCTCAATTTAACCTACCTCCCAGGCATTCAGTTGCCACCAGGCAGAAAGATCAGCTTCGGATTGCTAGAGCGTTTACCGCCCGATTGCGGAGCCTAGGTGTGGCGCTGAGATTCCAGAAAGGGGTCGCTCACATTTTTGGATCACTTTTGATGATGGAATTGTGGGTAGGTCCGAATTATTGAGACATTCTTGGGATTTCAGCATGTTTTCAAGTATATGCAGTGCATTGCAGTTCTATGTTGAGGGGTTCTTAAAAGGCCAAAGTTTTGACCCCAACATATTTGGAGGTTTCCAAATGATTGGGGGTACTGTACCCCAATAGCTGGATGGTTTATTTATAGTGGAACACCCCGAAAAAGGAACGACAACTGGCATGTTTGAAGAATATTGATAAATATTGGAAACATATTGGAAAAAAAAAATGTGTCATGATTACCCCCGCATGCGTGCAACTTAGAATTCGAAATTTTGGCATATATGCCGTATGACCAAAAAAGGGTCATATGCGAAATGAACAAAAAATACAGTCGTTTGGGGGTCCAGGTAGTATTCAATACTATTCAATACGTTCCAATGATCCACTGAAAAAATATTCGCCACAAACTGCGGCAACATTCACCATCGAGTCATCTCAGATCTGCAGGTGCCTACTGTCGAGCTAAACCCAGTTGGGAGGCTGTTGCTTACGACCACCTGAAGGGAGCGCAGGTGGCTGGATGCTGGTTGGTTTCAGTGCGTTTAGTGGCTGGTAAAAGATGGAAATGTGAATGAAATCTAGTGGTATGATAGTTTTTGATAGTTTTTGCTGATGCTGATGCCAAGCATCCCATCTGACAACCAGCTGGCTAGAATATCAATGAATATCAACCCCAAATGAAATCTATGCACATTTTCAGTATTCCTTCATTCGGTCAATGGAATGATGATCCCACTTGACTTTAAGGGGAATCGATGCATCCAGCAATGGCGATATCTTGGCTTCTTCCCCCGCAATGGCAGTGGATAGTGAAGATATGTGAAGATTGTTGTTGGGGGCCAATACTGTTAGTTACATGCAACTATTAAAAAGTAGTGATGATCCTGCTTGTGACTTGCGATGTGGCTTGGGTTGGATGTTTTTTGAGATCCAGTTGACTTTCTTGGAGGTTTGTACCCCTGAGTGTAAACATTCCCGAGGAACACCTGGTATCGAAATGGATTCGTTCATTTTGGGGTCCCATATATGGGGCATCGGATGATTTTTGAGCATGTTTTTTTTCCCAAGAACGGGGCAATTTACATATATCATCATATATCCCAAAAAGTGCAATTTCAGTATATTTCAATGGGACACACGAAAATACATCAAGATCATCAAGTACATCTTTTCAAGATTTGGGGCTGCCCCATGAGAAATCTTCAATTGCCGCTGAGATCAGCCGCAGGTCGAGCCGCGCAAAGACGCCCGGGGTCGGCAATCGACCAAGGCTCAAAGGCGAGGGAGATGGCGTGGCATCAGAGAAATGACAGGGGCAACATGGGGCCTTATTTGGATGATTTCAACATGCTTTGGGAATGGTTTATTTTTATGGTTTAAGATGGTTTAAGTTTAACCGTTTCTTTGATCATGGACATATATGGACATTTTGGAAGCGTTGTTTTTTGACATGTGTCGACGATGAACATCTATGGAATGTGGTGGTTATGGGCAAACGGCAAACTCTCTCTTTTTTTGTTTCAAATGAAATGCAGAGGGAGAGGCCAGAGAGGCCATAAATTTCCAGCGCGTCGAATGCTGGAAACCCATGTTTTTCCAGCTGGGTTCAGGAAAACAGTTGAGCAGTTGCATTGTTGGCTTGGCATTTGCACAATGCTATGGAGGCATGCATCTGCAAGCATGGCTGCGAAGGATACCTTTGTTCAGCACTCAGAAGTATCCATACACCTGTCACTGGTTGTTGTTGTTTGCCAGTCCCCGTCGAGGTGGTTGTCTACACTCACAAGGGAAATGGAGAGCAAATAGGCGATTCAAAGGAAGAGAAGCCACAGAAGATTGTCGGACCCTTATGGGGATTCGTGGGATTTTGGAGGCAGCAATACATGAAGAAACATCAAACCGAACATGAACCATGATGATGCAAACAACTCTTTTGTCCTTGTCTGCAAACAGGAGTAGTCTATTTCCAAGCTCTGATTCAGTCCGTTTCGAAGACCGTCTGACCTGTTTTACCAACATGATCTTCCCATATTCCCAGAATAGTACCCTCTGTTAAACTAACGTAACTATGGAAAATCACAATTTTTAATGGGTAAATCCACTATTAATAGCCATTTTCAATAGCTATATATGTATGTTTACCAGAGGGTATACTGTAATATTCCATCATATTACCCCATATCTTCCCATCTCTTCCTGTAGTCTTTATATTCCCAAACTGGTTCCCGAGGTCCTTCGCGTCACCCTTTGGGTGAAACATCCTTTGCTGCTGGCTGAAGGTGATCGAGCTGACCTTGATGGAGCGAAAGTTCAAGGATGCTGTCTGAATGGATTTGAGGCCCAGCTGTGGAAAAAACATGTTATATATGCATACAGATTATATATGGCAATATATGGGTTATATGGGGGTTTCCATAGTCATAGGGGTACCCCAATAGCTGGATGGTTTGTAATCGAAAATCCCAACATAAAGTGGATGATTTGGGGGAGAGACTGGGGTGCGCTATGTCTACAAAGTTGGAACAGCAATACTCCGTGTTTGGAGTATCCGCCGGAGCAGAAAGGCGGCGAGTTGGGGAGCTGTTTGGCAGTCTGGAACCGTCCACCCTGAAAATGATTGGTTCCTCCATAATCTTCATTACCCTCTGGTAAACTAACATAGCCCATAGCTATTGAAAATGGCCATTTATAGTTGATTTACCCATTCAAAATTGTGATTTTCCATAGTTATGTAAACGTTTACCAGAGGGTACCCGTTCCAATTTTTTCCAATGTTGGATGATCCCCTAAGTTCCCATGCCTCCATAATCAGTCCATTGGAATTGGAAATCAGTGACTGGTATATAATATATATATATAATAATAATGATAAGAATAATAGTAATAATAATAATATATTATACATATTATGATCAATTATACATATTATCATACACATACATATTATCATATATATATATATACATATTAAAATAAATTATACATATCATACACATATCATAATGTATATATATATACATAGTAATATATTTATATATATATATACATAATAATATATATTTGTATATATATATATACATAGTAATATATTTGTATATATATACATAGTAATATATTTATATATATATATACATAGTAATATATTTGTGTGTATATATATACATAGTAATATATTTGTATATATATATACATAGTAATCTTTATATATATGTATACATATTATAATATATATATATACATAGTAATATATGTATATATATATACATATTACAATATATATATATATATATACATTTATTTATACATACTAGAATATATGTATGTATATACATATATTTCCGAGGATTCCTTTTACTGGGCAACTATTTTGAGTAGACCTTCCCGGACCTTCCCCCATTAGTTCCAGCACCAGATCTTCTTTGAGTATCCTTGGCGTTTAATGGTTCGATGGATCAGGCAATTGAGTGGTGGCTGACAAAGCTTCGGCCACCGGAACTTCAATCTGGTGAGGGGCTCGGGGGATGCAGTGCAGTACTTCCAAAGGTGGGATGTTAAAATCTTCTCAAAAAGGTCAACAGGTCCTGTAGTTTAGAAAAGATAGCAATTCAACAAAGCTCACGTTTTGCAGCATTTGACTCCCCAGTGCAAGTGTTGATTGACAGATTTCATGGTGGGGGCTCATGTGGGCAAAATGTTCCTGCTCAGGCAAAGACATTGAGCATATCCTCCTTTTGATGAGGACTGTTGTTATGAAATGACGTGTTTCTTCCAATAGCTCTCCTACCCAAAGGGTTGTTGGGAACCTCGCATTTGTCCTTCCAACAGCCAATGAAGGTCCCAAAATAGCACCACCCAATCAAACTAGCAACAAAATCCATGTCACCCCATTTTTGAGGACCGCTATGTTCACACATATAAACGCAAACATGTGTAACATCGATATACAGATCCATACACATTCAGAATATATCTAGAACCCACGCACACACACATATTCATAATATATACATTGATAATTGTCATATAATGTGTAAGATATCCACATATATGTATATATGTTATATTATGCATATATATATATATATAATGATATAACACACACACATATACATACATACATACAGACAGACAGACAGGACATGACATGACATGACATGACATGACATGACATTACATTACATTACATACAAATATATATATATATATACATAGAATAATATATATATATACATCACATGTATCTATGTCACATGTACCCAGCTGCCAGGAGCGATTCGACAACTCAGGAGGTGGCCAAGGCAGCGGAACGCTTCGCGGAAATGTCGCGGTCTCAGACGTCTCAGAAATGCTTCCGCGGAGGATGTCATAGCTTATACATTGTTATACATATGGAGTTATTTTGGAATATTTTCATATCCTATGGGTAAAAAAAATGACTCCTATGGATCATATCCAATGGACTATATGTTATAGATATATATACACCGACATACTAGTAGATAGTAATGATAACATATCTCGATATCTTAGCTATGATTATCTTTGCTCAATAAGATATATTTTACATACACATACATACGGTTTATCATCCTATAGATTATTCATTATTTAATAGATATTAATCATCTTCCCAATGATTATATACATACACATACGTATCAAGATGCATGCGGAAACCCAATTCATATGTGTGTGTTGTATTAAAGTGCCCTCACTGACCACTGATGATATAGGAGAGAGAGAGGGAGAGAGAGATAGAATGAGAATGATAATGAGAATGAGAGAGAGAGAGAGATTGGAAAGATCAATGGTTTGGTTCAAGAAAAGAGGCAAACTTTGCTTTCCAGTCTTTTCCCTTCAAGTACAGGATCTTCTGAAGCCCAGGCGAATGGGCATGTCCATCTCCGAAATGGAGGTCGATGGTCTTCCGTCATGGGACATCTCATTATCACCCCTCCGGTCATGGTCTTCCAGCTTGCCATGGTTTTTTCGCTGGTCCATTGACTTCGATGATGGTGTTCATCGTTTTTTAGCGCCGGCTATGAATAAAACACATCGTTTGGCTTGTCTAAGAATAGGGTACCCCAAAACCCCTTTATCATTCACATGGATATTAATGGATATTAATGGATATTAATGGATATTAATGGATATTAACCCCTTATCTATTTTTTCAGACACACCCCATAGCTGGGAATTTCCATTGGAACCCCATAGCGCTTGGACCAATTTTCCACAACCAATGGGGAAGACATGTTCCTTTTCAGAGGGCCGGCACCACATTTTTTTCCCCATGATATGACATCATTGATGGCTATCCAATTGTTCATTGTTCATTGTTCATATTACCCTCAGAGAATCTAACATATCAATGGAACATGGCCATGTTTGATAGGCAAAATATCATAACATATCATAAAATATCCACAAATCGGTCATTTCCCTTACCAGAGGGTAAACCATGGTAAACCATCACAAAACCAGCATTTCTGACCACAAACCCATCCACTGTGAGGCGCCCGTGCGGCCTCGAGCCCTGGAGCAAAAAATGGCCGCGGGGGCAGCTGGTTTTAGGGATCCTCTGCGGCCAAAAAGACCCCAAAAACGGCAGGCCAGTTGCAGCGGCGGCTGGAACATGTTCGGCAGATCTCTAGCCAGGAGCAGATGTTGGTGGATGGGAGATACACTTTGCAGTTGATGGGGTTCAAAATCTTTCAAGTTCAAGTTGGTGATTGCCAGGAGCCCCAAGTCTCGGACGAGGTGCCAGTTGGCGGCCAATGGGGACTGGGGACACCTGAAACACCGCAGATGGGAACCTCATTTTGCTCATCAAGATGGCCATCAATTGGGGTAAATCATGGTAAATCCCATGTAAATGGACCATTTTTAAACATCCATCATTCGTATCTTTGGTTAACGTTGGTTAACGTTGGTTGTACATGCCATCCCTCCCAGTTCTTCCTAGTACCACGACCACGGCGCGGCGTCAGTCCTGTGCTTCTACGCCGCTGCCTCCCTCAGACATTCCAAGCCGATGGTGCTCCGGTGGAGTTGATAGACCCACAGCTGGTTGACATAGCTATGGCAGCTACCTATTTATAGGGGATTTATAGGGGATATATATGGATACCATGAGGATTTATAGGAATTTATGGTGATTTATATGGGATATAAATGGGATTTACCCTCTGGTAAACATACAAAAAACTATGGCAAGATCCACCATTTTTAATGGGAACATCCACTATTTCGACTGGGCCATTTTCAATAGCAAACTGTTAAATTACCAGAGGGTATGGAAAATCCACCTATTTTCAATAGGCAGCTATCGGATGAGATCGGATTAAATCCTCATAGATCATCGAACTTTTTTTTTGGCAATCTTCCATAGCTATGTGAAATAACCGGAGGGTAGCTTCAAGATCCAGAATCAAGATGAATCAAGGAGAAGCAGGGTCCAAAAGGAGGATTTGACCATGACTTGCAATGATATTGGAGGATTTCGTGATATTTTCAGCCATACTTTGTTCAAGCTGGAGTTCGGATTGCAGTCCAGAACGGGGGATACGGGATACCATTCTCAACCAGTATGATGGATATGGGGATGGGGGTATTTTTCACGGCTCACTTGGGGAGTTCATGCTGGAATTCCCTAATTTTTTTTTGAATCTTGGTGAGGTGGACTGACATTTTCCAACGGGAAACATCCGTTCTCTGACTTCAACAGTTGGATTTCAGGGGTAATAGATTTTCGGATACTGTAAATCAATATATACCCACAATATATATATATATACTGTATATATAATTACATATATATGGGGTCTCATGCAATAGGCTGGTGGTTAGATATTAGCTACAAGGGATGATTTTATCCGGCCCACAAAATCAGAGATTGCATCATTTTTTTTGGAGTGAATATAATTATATGTATACACACATAACATACACACACATACTATATATATATATATATACACATACACTATATATATATATACATACATACACTATGAATATATATATATATATGTATATACACGCATATATATATACACACATAATTAGCACATAATTAGATATGCTACACCAACTTTGACCTCCCATTTTGCCGAGGCATTCAGCCCGGCTGGTGGAATCACAGAAATTCTGAGAGCGACTTTCAAGAGTTTCGGGAGTTCGGAGCGGCAGGGTGCCAGCACCAAGTGTCAAACCTGTTTTTATTGGGAAAAAGAAAGGGTTCACTATATCTATATCTATATCTACATATATATATATATATATCTTTGGCAACTTTTTTCTACAGAAACACAGTCTTCAGTGAGTTGTATCGATATGATTTTGATTCGTGAGAGATTGTTTTGGTTGTTCTCCGTGAAAAGTAACTGGGCGCTGGACGCCCATTTCATGGGACTCGCAGGAACCTGGCAAATGTCAGCCATCAACCGGACGGGCTCCCTTGTACCATCAGCGGTAGAAAATGGTTGCTCCAGGCGTTTTTGGCAAAATAGCCAAGACTGGATGATTTGAATCACGACCAAATTTGGGATGTTAGTATATATAGTATATATACAAAATGTGGATTTAACCGATTTAACCAGCAAAAAATGTGAATATGGCAATGACTGCCTAGTTGCAACCAAACGGGCTTCGGAAGGCTTCGGACAATCCCAATGAACTGTTTATTGATTTCTTGATTTATTCAATTTGTTGATGTAGTTATTTAAAGTTATTTACTGATGAATAATCTTATATTTATACTAATATTGTTTGAAATTGGTATACCCAAGTTCAGACGCACATATCTCTGAGGGTGACACTGCAGAATCTGCAGAAGCTTCTGGCATCATCAGGGGTCATTGTGCAAGATTCTTCTTTGGTTTGACGACGTCGATTTGCTGGCTTTGCCACCGCAGCTCAAAGGAAGCAAATCAAATATGCTCAACTTGTCTCATGAGACGACTATGAGGACGAGGCCCCAACTGGTCAACCAGCCGGTCATGTAGAACACGATGGTGTCAACCCACTCCCAACCTCGATTCATAGATGACAGCACAGCCAAATCAGCAGAAGGACAGCACAGTGCCGCAATGGCCTGGGGAACCCCAAATCAGAGGGGATGCTCCAGAGCCAAGATCCTCTTGGATAAACATCTAGGGCGCTACGGAATATGTTTTGAAGACCTGAAAGAGATGGCATGCTCCATAACCATCCCTCCATATCCCTCCCAGCCAGCAGAACCACAACGGAACGCAGCCTGGAGGGAGTTGTGGAGCTGCCCCATTCCGAATGGCGGTTCTTGACCATGATCCTGCGATACAGGCGGAGGGAGTGAAGGGAATTGGAACCTCTGGTAAACTAACATAGCTATGGAAATTGGCCCATTTACAGTTGATCTACCCTGTCTAAATGGTAATTTTCCATAGCAAACTGTTAGTTTACCAGAGGGTAATCAGCACTCGGATCCAGGACAGCCCTCACTTCGGGCTGACTTAAAAGCCACGGTGAAAATCCCCACCAATTGACATAGTTTTGTCCGGCTAAAGATGCACTAATTATCCACTGAAAAAACATTTGGGTTTGTTTGAAAATAGGCTATATACTTTAGCCCATTTCATCCTACTGGTTAATGGTTGAGCAAATGATTTTCCCCACTACTGAATTGCCAGCAATTTTCGAACAAACCCAACATGCCTCGAAATTACTGACTCAACGCCTCAACGCCTCAACGCTATTTATACATAATTCCCCACATTTCTCCACACATGTACATATTTCCCCTATAAATATATATTATATACATATACACAGTGTATACAGACATATATACTCTTCGTTCGCTACAAAGAGGATGAACTCACACACGTGGTGCAGAGAAATCACAGGACTTTTTTTCCTTCAGAAAAATCTTGGTGCCAGGAGAAGGCGAAACAAAAGCAAGAGCAAGTGTCGCCTGGAGAATCTGTAGCGATGGGATTAAATGGCTGATGGTGATGCCTATATATCCTATATGATATGCTTAGGTAATCTTAGGTATATGGTTGTATACATGAACATATGTGTGTATATTCATGTATACATGCTTAGACCATGTTACACGCTGTATTTTTGTAATCTATTTGTTTCATAGACGTAAGATCGCAACCATTTCGCGCGGCTTGGGGTTTCTATTTGATGCTTGGTAGTGAATCGAGTCCTGGGATGATTCGAGGGGTCACGACATGAGGTCACTACAATTTACCCGATATATGTATAGAAGTATATGATAGTATATATGATTGTACACACACATGTGTATATATATATATGTGTGATAGACCTTTAGGTACTATTTTGTTCCGTTTTTACTTCCTCATATCCTCCTTCATATTTCACTCTGGAGGCCTTTTTATTTCAAAACAATTAAAAACACAGAGGCTCCAGAATCCCAGATCTGAGACTTTGTAGCTTTGGAATTAAACACATTAAAAACATTAAAAACAAAAGCCTCTTGGGGGACTAATGTTTTTAATGTTTTTAATTGATTAAAAAACATTAAACACATTAATCCCCCGAAAGGCTTGTGTTTTTAATGTTTTTAATGTTTTTAATTGATTTAAAAACATTAGAAACATTAAAAACATTAAAAACATTAAGAACATTAAAAACACAGAGGCTCCAGAATCCCAGACTTGAGACCTGTGAGTTTTGAATTAAAAACATTAAAAACATTAATCCCCCAAGAGGCTTTTGTTTTTAATATTTTTAATTGATTTAAAAACATTAAAAACATTAATCCTCCGAAAGGCTTGTGTTTTTAATGTTTTTAATGTTTTTAATTGATTTAAAAACATTAAAAACATTAAAAACACAGAGGCTCCAGAATCCCAGATCTGAGACTTTGTAGCTTTGGAATTAAAAACATTAAAAACATTAAAAACAAAAGCCTCTTGGGGGATTAATGTTTTTAATGTTTTTAATTCAAAACTCACAGGTCTCAAGTCTGGGATTCTGGAGCCTCTGTGTTTTTAATGTTTTTAATGTTTTTAATGTTTTTAATGTTTTTAAATCAATTAAAAACATTAAAAACATTAAAAACACAAGCCTTTCGGGGGATTAATGTTTTTAATGTTTTTAAATCAAATTAAAAACATTAAAAACATTAAAAACACAAGCCTTTCGGGGGATTAATGTTTTTAATGTTTTTAAATCAATTAAAAACATTAAAAACATTAAAAACATTAAAGACCTTAAAAACATTAAAAACACAGAGGCTCCAGAATCCCAGATCTGAGACTTTGTAGCTTTGGAATTAAAAACATTAAAAACAAAAGCCTCTTGGGGCATTAATGTTTTTAATGTTTTTAATTCAAAACTCACAGGTCTCAAGTCTGGGATTCTGGAGCCTCTGTGTTTTTAATGTTTTTAATGTTGTTAAATCAATTAAAAACATTAAAAACATTAAAAACACAAGCCTTTCGGGGGATTAATGTTTTTAATGTTTTTAAATCAATTAAAAACATTAAAAACATTAAAACATTAAAAACACAGAGGCTCCAGAATCCCAGATCTGAGACTTTGTAGCTTTGGAATTAAAAACTTTAAAAACATTAAAAACAAAAGCCTCTTGGGGGATTAATGTTTTTAATGTTTTTAATTCAAAACTCACAGGTCTCAAGTCTGGGATTCTGGAGCCTCTGTGTTTTTAATGTTTTTAATGTTTTTAAATCAATTAAAAACATTAAAAACATTAAAAACACAAGCCTTTCGGGGGATTAATGTTTTTAATGTTTTTAAATCAATTAAAAACATTAAAAACATTAAAAACAAAAGCCTCTTGGGGGATTAATGTTTTTAATGTTTTTAATTCAAAACTCACAGGTCTCAAGTCTGGGATTCTGGAGCCTCTGTGTTTTTAATGTTTTTAATGTTTTTAATGTTTTTAAATCAATTAAAAACATTAAAACATTAAAAACACAAGCCTTTCGGGGGATTAATGTTTTTAATTTTTTAAATCAATTAAAAACATTAACACATTAAACAAAGCCCTCTGGGGGTTAATTTTTTAATGTTTTTTAATCAAACCACAGGTCTCAATCTGAATTCTGGAGCCTCTGGTTTTTATGTTTTTAATGTTTTTAAATCAATTAAAAACATTAAAAACATTAAAAACACAAGCCTTTCGGGGGATTAATGTTTTTAATGTTTTTTAATCAATTAAACACATTAAACACATTAAAAACATTAAAAACATTAAAAACACAGAGGCTCCAGAATCCCAGATCTGAGACTTTGTAGCTTTGGAATTAAAAACATTAAAAACATTAAAAACAAAAGCCTCTTGGGGGATTAATGTTTTTAATGTTTTTAATTCAAACTCTCACAGTTCTCAAGTCTGGGATTCGGGGAGCCTCTGTGTTTTTAAATGTTTTTTTTTAATGTTTTTAAATCAATTAAAAACATTAAAAACATTAAAAACACAAGCCTTTCGGGGGATTAATGTTTTTAATGTTTTTAAATGAATTAAAAACATTAAAAACATTAAAAACACAAGCCTTTCGGGGGATTAATGTTTTTAATGTTTTTAAATCAATTAAAAACATTAAAAACATTAAAAACATTAAAAACATTAAAAACATTAAAAACACAGAGGCTCCAGAATCCCAGATCTGAGACTTTGTAGCTTTGGAATTAAAAACATTAAAAACATTAAAAACAAAAGCCTCTTTGGGGATTAATGTTTTTAATGTTTTTAATTCAAAACTCACAGGTCTCAAGTCTGGGATTCTGGAGCCTCTGTGTTTTTAATGTTTTTAATGTTTTTAATGTTTTTAAATCAATTAAAAACATTAAAAACATTAAAAACACAAGCCTTTCGGGGGATTAATGTTTTTTTTTTAAATCAATTAAAAACATTAAAAACATTAAAAACACAAGCCTTTCGGGGGATTAATGTTTTTAATGTTTTTAAATCAATTAAAAACATTAAAAACCTTAAAAAACATTAAAAACACAGAGGCTCCAGAATCCCAGATCTGAGACTTTGTAGCTTTGGAATTAAAAACATTAAAAACATTAAAAACAAAAGCCTCTTGGGGGATTAATGTTTTTAATGTTTTTAATTCAAAACTCACAGGTCTCAAGTCTGGGATTCTGGAGCCTCTGTGTTTTTAATGTTTTTAATGTTTTTAAATCAATTAAAAACATTAAAAACATTAAAAACATTAAAAACACAAGCCTTTCGGGGGATTAATGTTTTTAATGTTTTTAAATCAATTAAAAACATTAAAAACAAAAGCCTCTTGGGGGATTAATGTTTTTAATGTTTTTAATTCAAAACTCACAGGTCTCAAGTCTGGGATTCTGGAGCCTGTGTTTTTAATGTTTTTAATGTTTTTAATGTTTTTAAATCAATTAAACACATTAAACACATTAAAAACACAAGCCTTTCGGGGGATTAATGTTTTTAATGTTTTTAAATCAATTAAAAACATTAAA